GTCCTTACAAATGGAGGCGGTTAGAAGCATGTCTCAAAAGCATCCGGTGACAGTCGTAGGGACTGAATGATTCTGGGTTGTTTAGAAGAATAGTTTAACCTTCCTTTGAAAAATTGCAGTAATATCAAGATAAATTATTAAAATATACGGTCGGATTTCAACAAATATTGCTACTGCTATTCAGACAGAAATATTCACTCATTAATCATGCAGTGAGTGTTTATTAAGACCCCACTGTGTTCTGTGCTTTTCAGCTCCCACAGTTGCCTGTATTCAGCCAGCCACAGGTCTGGAAAGAAGAAACTAATGAACAATAAGATGTTAGTGACCAGTGGCGCTTAACCCACCACTGTCTCTCAAACATTTTTGTATTTTTTTTTTTTTTTTTGGTTTTTCGAGACAGGGTTTCTCTGTGGCTTTGGAGCCTGTCCTGGCACTAGCTCTTGTAGACCAGGCTGGTCTCGAACTCACAGAGATCCGCCTGCCTCTGCCTCCCGAGTGCTGGGATTAAAGGCGTGCGCCACCACCGCCCGGCTAACATTTTTGTATTTTGACAGAGCCTGAGGAGTTATTCCACGAGAACACTTCCAGCGTTAGGGCAGAAGGCCTGCGGTAGGTGGACAGGCAAAGATTTTAGGAGTTCCTGATAGATTTCAAACTGCCATTAGACAGCTCACAGACTTATCCCACTTCCAACGATAGGATGATGGGATAAAAATTGGGAAGCCCCATGCTGTCTTTATGCCAGGCGTTGTGCTACATAGAGAATATGTAAGCAGGAAAAGTGTGGCTCTTCCCCGTAGGGATCCAGATCCCCATGCAGTGACTGCAGCAAGCCCTGCCATTGCATTTCTTTGTCCTGTGATTGTGATTTGGTCGAACTGCTGGGCTCTTGTGTTATCTCATCTTCCGACTTTTCAACATTTAGAGTAATTACAGCCCTTTGACTTGCTGTGGTATGCCGATTTACTCATAGTATTGACAACTCCGCAGTATCAAACGTGTGATGTCATCTGGGATCTTACAGGGCCCAATGCTAGTTTAAACCGAAGAGAAAATTCACTTAAAAATTAAACATACTCAGGTGCAGTTGTGCACACCTGTGACCTCAGAAGGCGAGGGCAGGGCAATCTCAGGTCTGAGGCCAGTGTGGGTTGTGTATTGAGACTCCTGACTCAAAAAGAAAGCAATAAAATAAGAAAACTTTTCCTTTGGTTATAACCATTGAAATTGTCACCTACCTTTTGCTTTTCTAGTCCCCTTTCCAAGGTGTTTTGCCAAAGTCCAGAAATCTTTTCAGGATCCACATTTTAAGAGATTAATTTTATTTAAAATGTAATCGTTGATTGGTTAATTGATATGTGCGTGGTGTGTGCATACAGTGTGTGTGTAAGCAAACGTGTGTGCAGCTGATGTGTGTTTAGGTAGAGGCCACTGGGAATGCCTTATCTCTTGGAGTCACAGGCATCTGTGGGACACCCAGCTTGTTATGTGGGCGATGCCATCTGATTGAGCAGCAAGTGCTCTTCACCACCGAACCATCAAACCAGTCCAGGGGTCTGCGGTTGAGATGAACTGTAGATACATGGCTTCCTGGGAGAACACTGTAAGGACAGGTGCCATCCTGTCGCCTGCCCACTCATACCACTTCATGACCCCACCTGGTGAGTCTGGAGCTGGCATTGTAGGGAAGACCTAATTTTGCCTGTCACTGAAGCAACAGAACTGCCTCACCTCCATAGACTTCCTGAAGATTCAAAGGCATTACCTAAATACAATGTTTATACATGATATTATACGCGTACACATTCTATATTTTGTAAATATATATATTTACAAAAATACCGATAAAAATGTACACAGAAATGACAGTTTCTCATCTTGTAATGCCTTGAGGATATCCACAAGCCAGGAAGGCTCTCAGCTCAGTGACGGATGCCGGATGGGTAATCTCTGGGATTATTTTTGAGAATGATTTTAGTAGTTCTGTTCGAATGATGCCCTTTTTTTTGAAGACTGCTATTTTTCTGAGTGGCACATATGTCAGTAGAGCAGAATAAAAGCCTAATAAAAGCATACCTGATTATAAATGAGATTTTCCAGTAAGTTGCTTTTCACTAGCTAGGGCGCTTGGCATCATCCCTGAGTGCCAGGGTTCCCAACGATCTGCCTGAGAAGTTAATGACATATTCCCCCGTGACAAAGAAGTCTGGTCCAAGGGTAGTATATAGTTTTGTGGGTTTTTAAAGATTCATTTTAACAGTCTCTTGTTCCTGGAAGTGTTCCTCTCTCATATCATTTCCTACGTGCCGCTGACTGTGCCATCTATACGCACAGATACCTATAGATGCTGAAAGAGCCAGCTATGGGGGGATTAGACTCATCTCCCAAATACACAGGGAATTTCCCATGCTGCTTTGTTAGTGTTGTCACAGAGAGAGAGAGAGGGCAGAAACAGCGCCTGCAGCTGTGAACCACCTGACATAGGACAGCCGCAGCCTCCTTTGGAGCCCCCCTTCTCCATTCTGTTGGTGACAGAAGTTTCTGTCAGGATTGGTACTGTCTAGACCCAGCATCCTATGATCTCATCATCTTCCATGAAGCTTGGCAGCTGAGACTGAGCATAAACTCACAACACCAAGGGCTACCTGGTCCCAACAGACTGGCCTTAAGACTGTGGGGAAGATAACTTCACTTTCCTTCATCTTGAATTTCCTCAACTGAAAAGTAAGAGAATCAGAGCAGATTTCTCTCAAATGTTTAAAACCATTCTCATGTTCTCTGGTGATGTATTTGTGGTAATGAAAACCAAACCAAGGGTTTCCAACCCAGGGCCTGGTGCATACTAGACACAGCCCTCGACTTCTCAAGTTTAACTTGCAAAGATTATCATCTGCAGGAATATTTTCTTTTATCTTTGGCGGTTATAGCCAAAGTTTAGGAGGGCAGAGGAAATGCAGTCTGTCAAGAAATAGTTCCACTTTGGCCGTGGAGAAACATTGAATTAATTTGCTACATTTTTTATGTCCTATGAAAAGATCTCTCAGCTCCCTCTTCTATCCACCATCCTTTGGGATAGAAAATGTTGCCTTTCTTCCCAACATGATGAACGCTAGCTCTGTTCATGTCATTTTAATCCCATGACTGAGTTTGGTTTCGGTGATTCTAAGACTTTCTCACTTGAAGCTCTAACTATTAAACGTTTTATCATTGGAGAATTTGTTCAGGTGATGCTACTCAGTTGCACATGGGAGACCTGGGGCTGTTGGCATTTACGTACTTAAGTGGGCGTGGCGGGAACAGCCCACACAGCCTGCCGTGAAGGTCAGAGGACGACTTGTAAGAGTCGGGTTTTCTCCTTCCACGAAGTAGGGTGAGGGCTTCAAACCAGTTTGCCAGGCTGGGCAGCAAGTTTTCATTAACTGCTGGCCAGAGATGGGCGCTTTTGAAAGAGGATTTGAAAGGTAGTGGGAGGGCTAGAGGAAGAATTGAAGGGAATTGGGGATAAATTTTTCTCAAATCGCATTCTATGATTGTATGAAATTCTCAAACAATAAAGAATAAAAGGGGATTTTTCTTGCAGTGATGTAGCCAACTCCACAATACACCTCCACTCTGTATCAAAGATGGCACATCCCTTCCACAGAACTTTTCCCCCACGGTGCTGGACACAGAACCCAGAACTTGCGCATGTTAGGCCACTCCCAACAGTGAACTATCTCCCAAGCCCTTTTCTTCTTGGCATTTTTAAAGAAAAGTTCCCTATAAGTTGCCCAGGGTGACCTTGAACTTGCTATGTAACCTAGGGAGGCCTTGAACACACAATCCTTCTGCTTTGCCTCCCGTGTGGCTGGGTTGAAGGGCCTAGGACACCAGGTCCGGCTTACTGTGCTCTTCCTTCATACAACGTCCTGTGCTCTTTAGTTTGTACCAGTTAGAGTCCAGGCTAGAATACCTGATCGGACTTTTCTAGGGTAAATCTTACACTGTTTTTAAAGCTCTAAAGGGGGCCATGGAGCGACCTCAAGACACCTGTGGGCTGAGATTTGAAAAGATACTTGTCCCAGTCTTTAAAGTACTCTCATTAGTAAATGCCAAGAGGGTGAAAACTTGGGGACTGATTCTTAGAATGCTCGTGATGTCCACACTCAGTTCTCTCTCTTTGTCGTGACAAAAATGACAGGTTGTGTAAGGTTTCAAAACAAGGAATGAATTTCCCTGTATTCATAACTTTAAGATATACCTCCTTTGTCCTTCCCATACATCGGGAGACGTATAGGCATAGGCATGGTGTGTGTGGGTGTCTGGGTGTGTGTATGTGTGTGTGTAAAACACTTATGCATTGTGCTACTTGCTTATACACGCCAGCCGTCTCATTTAATCCCCCCAGTAAGTCTGTGAGTTAGCAAACGAAATACCCAAATTGTTCCTTGGGAAATGGAGGCTCCAAAGGCTTTAGTAACTCCCTGCAGGCAAGTACAGCAAGTAGACAAATGAGCTACAGTTTAGACATGGCTACTGCTTGACCCTCTACCCTATGAGCTTAAACACCGAGGTTGCGAAATTGTTATTCTTCTGAGCTGGAAAACAAATCTTCATCTTGAATTTACTGCCAGGGAGTTTATCTTGTCTTGAGTGTCCCGTGTGGGGTGATGAGAGAACCCTCTGAAGTCTCCTTCTTTTTGTCTGTCCTTGCCTGCCTCCTCTGACTTCCATTGTCACGGCGGCTTCACAACACACTGTCTGCTCTGTGTTCTGTTTCATGGATCTATACTGTCCTTTGTTGTAAGTACATTTAGGAATGATTGCAGCTTCCTCTTGATGTCTCAACATTTTCAAGTGATTTATTTTGATAGTTCTTTAGCCTCGTGATTTCAAATATTGAGTTACTGAGTTCAGGTGGTCTTATATTTTCCCCACAAATGTGTTTATGTCACTCCACAGACTGAGAAATTTCATTCCAGGGGTTTCTCCCCTTCTTTCATTTGATTTCCCTGCAGGAGAAGAACTGAGTTCTTTGAGCTTGTCAGCAAAGGAGACTACGATTGGAACATCAAAAGCCACCGTGATGTGTTTCGGTAAGAAAAAGCACGCATTTGGGTATACTTTGCATTATTGGACATTTTAGCCATGCTTTTTCTGTGTACGTTGGAAAAGTCAGATGATCAGCTGAACAGAACCTAAGTAATTCTCCCAATTTGTCGGAGTGAGCAGCTTCACAGGGACGCTTCCCTGTGCAGTAGACACCTCTGGGGTGTAACCCATGGTCATGCTCCCGGCTGCACTCACAGAACTTAAAATGAGACCCTCAGAGTGTGTGGAGCAGTATGGTAGCTTTGTAATAAACGCAGCATCCTGAACCCCTTATTCTCCTTGAGACTGTTACTTAATCTCTCTGTGCTTTGGTCTGTAAATAAGAATAGGGTCCCTCTCGGAGGCCACAGTGAAGGTTTTGTCAGCCAGCGGTCAGTCCTTTAGCTAGGAAAGGCCCTAGGACAGAAGCAGGGGGAAAGCCAGCACTGCCAAATGCTGCTGCAGAGGATCAGAGCCCAACAACAGACCAAGCTGTCCCCCTTCGCACAAGCTTAGCATAGGGGTGTTTGGATAGTGCTCTGGTCCAAGGGGCTGGCTGAGGCTGGCCCTGCCTGGCTCGCGGTGAATGACCCATTGTTAGCTGGGACCCTGCCCACTCCAATCCTGCTCTACCATCTGGGCAGCAGACCTGTTTCCAAGACATTGAGATCCAGCAGGGTTTAAAAGTCTAGCTGACAGCAGGATGGCCCTCTGACCTTTCACAACACATTCTTTCTTCAAAAGCAGCCAGCCAGCGCACCTCCCAGGGCTCCGGCTGGTGCTGTTTACTCTCCACCAGGCGCTCCTATTGTTAGCTGAAAAACAGCAGACGGGAGCCCACCCGCCACATCTGATAATACTCTCTATCAATGATTTGAGTTATCTCCAGTGTTTCCACGGTTCAGTGTGAAACTTAGTTAAATCCACCTCTGGAAAACCTGATTCGCGTTTGTTGTGCCTGTGTTTTAGCTTGCAAGATTAAGGAACGCCTTAGCTGGGTATGGTTTGGTTTGTTGGTTTGTTCGTTTGTTTTTTGAGAATGTGAATAAAGCGGTGGCCGCCAGGTAGTAACCCAAGTGACACAGTGTGGCTCCCTCGGGGAAATCTTGGCTCTGTGGAGCTGTGAACTTAAAAGAGTGCCCTACACAGCGTGTATCTCTCCTCTGTGGTGTGGATTTCTCTCCTTTGTCGCCGTGTTAAGTCAGCCACGCAGGGTGATATACTGATCGCCTTGCTTATGGCTAAGCTGGGGGGTAGCCACAGCCTGCTTGCCTCAGGTGTAGACAGAGGGCTCTCCTGCTCTCCTCAATTTGCTGCAGACGAAACAAAAAGGCGACCCGGGAGGATGTGAGAGGTCTTTGTGTTGCAGGCAGCGGTGGCTGCCTGGGAGAGGCACAACCGAGCGACTTTAAACAACGTGGCCCCTTGTGGAGGGAAGACGTGGGCTGACCCCGGTTCCGTGTTATTTATTTATGGATCTAGGGTGAGTTTGTTTAGGAATGCAGCAGAGGAGCGTTCAGGCTGTTCGGTTCTGTTTTTCAGATCAATGTTAATGACAGCCTGTGACCTTGGAGCCGTGACCAAACCGTGGGAGATCTCCAGACAGGCAAGTGATTAATGGCGGAGCTCAGCAGAGGAGAGACTGAAGGGGGCGGGGCTGAGCACGGAGAACAGTCTTTGCCTAGGTGCCGGCCTGGCATGGAACCACAGCCGGCCAAGTCGGAAGGCCATCTTACCCCACAATCTTTCTTCCTGTGCTTCCACTGAACAATGCTATTTCTGGCTGCAAGATTTTTGTAACGTGCTAAATCTGAAGAACCCTTTGACCATCCTGAGGGCAAACGGTTCATAGAAAAAAAAATACTGTTTTTGAATAAGTAATCTTGTGTTAGCAAAAGATCCTGTTTATCACTCATGAAAAAGAAAATAGGAAAAGTGAAAATCTGTTCTGTTTTAAAGTACTAGTTAAGCATCAGAGGGCTCTAGTGCCAATGCGTGCTGTGTCCCATTTAATTTTTTATCAAGACTAATAGTTATTTTACAGTTTCTCAAAGCACCCAAGCATTACATTATTTCTTATGCAATGGTAGTTTTGAATATAATATAATATTATATTCAATATATAATTAAATATAATATTATAATAGCTCCCTGGCTGCTTGACTACCAAGATCCTTGTTTACTAAGAGGGGTCAATAGCTTTTTAGGTTTCCTCCCCCTCTTTAACTTAATCTTATTGTATTGTTTTTCTTGAGGCAGGATAACTCTATATTCTCGAGGCTGCTCTAAAATTCTTTGGCTCAAGTAATGCTCCTGCCTCAGCCTCCTGAGTGCAGGACCAGTCAACAACAAACTCGCTAAGTTTTGTGCGATACCTTTTATGGGGGAGATAAGGTATATTCATATAATAATAAATGATTTTTTTGTCTGTGATGTTTCATTTCATGTATGATAGGTAGTTAGTACAAAGGCTGAGTAACCACAACACAGAGATATCGTGTCATGATCCCAGAAACCTATAACCATTCCCTGAGAAGAAAAGAACAGTTTTCTGCTTGCAAGAGTAGATGTAAGGATTTGCTGAGGGAGAAGAACCTGGACCATCCAGATGGGTCCTAACTCCCATCACAAATGTCCTTGTTAAAGAGCAGAGAAAGCTCAGGGTTCAGAAGAGAAGGCAACGTGAGAGTCCAACAAATACTGAAGTGATCATGTCTACACCCCAAGAAGTGCTAACAGCTACCAAACGCTGAAAAGAGGCAAAGGTCAGACGGAGTCTTCAGAAGGACACAACGCCAACCCCTGGGCTTCTGCCCATCACCCTGGTGTGAACCACTGGCCCCAAGAACTATGCAAGAAGAACTTCCTGTTGTCTTAGCCCCAGAGTTTGGAGTGAGGTTTTTGGAGTTTTAAGAAATTCATTCACTTCACAAATGGGAAGGATGGGGCTTAGCAAGGCTAAGCAGCCCAAGGTCTTCTATAGAGAGCAGCTGCTGACATGGGGCTTAGCAAGGCTAAGCAGCCCAAGGTCTTCTATAGAGAGCAGCCGCTGACATGGGGCTTAGCAAGGCTAAGCAGCCCAAGGTCTTCTATAGAGAGCAGCTGCTGACATAGACAGACTTGCTTTTCTCCTCTTTGTGTCCTTGAGGGTCACTGCCCTCGGACTGACGCAGTAACCATTCAGACCAGGAGTCCTTCACCAATGGACTACTTCCGGGGACACAGACATTGGTGACCTCCACCCTGGGAAAGGGACAGAAATCTGAATAAAAGACTAGCCAAGATATACAAGCTCACACTAGATGTAAGCTTTGAGTTTGAATCCAGAACTTGTTCTTGGATTGGAGAGACAAGGGGCTGGAGTGTGAACAAGACACAGATGTACAAGATGTAAGACCTCCAGGAAACAGAGGCAGGAGCGCAGGGACAGAAGGAAGAGGGCTGAGGGGCTGCAAAAGCCATGGCTGGAACTGGAGTATGGTTAACAGCCGTGGGGAAAGCTGAGACGGCACAGACTTCCAAGGAGAAAACTTACAAACCAAAACACATAAAGTAGATCCCAGCATATCAGACCCACACTCTCATTCACACACGGCCAAGCTTCTCTCCTCAGCCTAGAACCACCTGCACTTTTAAACATCATGGCTTACACAGGTCTAACCTTTTGACACTACGTCATGACAGTGTCGCTTGCAAAACTCATGCCAAGAACCAGGCAGTAAAGTTACAACAACAACAAAAATCTCATGTTCTAAGTGAGTTTACAATTCTTCGTTGGGCCACACTCGTAGTGATGGGCACCTCTGCTCTCATCCTGGACTGAGCTGATGGAGCCGACCGAGGAGCTGACAGTAGAAATGAAATGCCTTCGGTAATCCACCGGTCCAGACTTTTCACGTGAGAGTACTCTGCCAGAAGCTACAATCCATGTCTATGCCCAGCCAGAAGAAAGTCAGAAATCATTTGTGAGAATGTAAATAGTACAGTCTGCCCTTAAAAATCACCAGAAATGTCACTCGGAGTCCTTCTAGACAAAGCATACTCATTCTTTCCCCGGGGAAGGTAAGTGGGGTGGCCTATCAGTCAGGGCATCAGGCTCCCAGTCTAGAATCTCTACTACAGGTCTGGGTGTAACTTAAGGACCTAAACATGCCTCGAATACAGCATCAGACAGCCACCTCCACACACAGAATACCACCACAGCCCTCCCAGTCTGCAAGGGAGGAGATAAAGGACATTCGAGACCAATGGTCCGTGGAGATCCCGAGCATTCCAGGCATTCACCATGAAGTCTCCACCAGCAGTGGGCCTGGCTCCCTGTGGGATGCTTCAACCGCTCAGGCTTTCTTTCCATGGCTTTTTAGCTCCAGTAGGAAAATGAGTCCTTTCCCGTGATCTCCTATGACATTATTTGAAGGCTGGGTACCTTTCTCGGCCTACTTCTCACCTGAAGAAGGTGGCACACTGGCTTCGTAGAGTCACAGACTTACGGTTTCTTCAGCACGAAGCTCTTCAGCATTCAACTAAAACAAAAACACCGTGGTTTCCTCTATGTGAACATCTTAGATTCTTTTTGCTTCCTGGCACTCAGGAACAGACGAATGTCACCTGTTTCTCTCTTGTGTCCTCATCTGAGGACCCGAGGTCTCACAGCTTTCGTGAGAGAACTATGTAGTTGATTTATTTTCTGAGCTATATTTTTCTGATTAAAAAAAAAAAAAGCTGGTCCAGATGGCTCATCAAGTAAAGACGCTTGATGACAGGACTGATGATCTGAGTTCTAGTCCCCAGACCCATAAGATAGGTGCAAAGAGAAAAGCAGCTCCTGCAAGCTGTCCCCCCCACCTCCACAGGCAGTGTGGTAAACACGCACACACACACACACACACACACACACACACACACACATTTTTAGAAGTCATTTAAATTTATTTTTAAAAAGAATTTGCTGAAAGTCACCCAATTCATTCAGATATTTTATCCATAACTACGCTGGCCACACCATTAATGAGATTCTTATTTCACAGCTGAGTCTTAATTAATATTTCCATTTAAAGCATACCTTAATTTTAATAATTCTAGTTTGGAATCAAGCAGCAGCTTCATTGTTGTTTCCACGAGACTGGATTTTTCTGTCCCCACTCATCCCTCATTATAAACCTGCTCATCCTTTCTGAGCTCTCCTCTAGAGTGCCCGGGGAATAGTCAGCAGCTATTATTGTACGCTGTCAGCATTTTGTTTGCCAATCACTTCTCGCAAAATGATACGTTCTTTAGGGATCGTGCTCACTCTCTTTCAGTGATAACTGCACAAAGTTGCATGAGAGACTGTCTTCTGTAAGGCCTCCTGTCTGTCCGTCTGTCTGTCTGCTGCCTGGCCTCCAAGCTGATCTATGTCTTAAGGTCCCCGCCCCCACGACGTGGCTCTCGCCTGCCAAGATCTCTCATGCACAGAATCATGACACCATGTAAAATGGGGCAGAAGTGCTGGCCACCTGTGATCCCGGCACCACATGGAGGCGGGGCCAGGGCATCCCCAGAGCAAGCTGGCTAGCTAGACCAGCCAGAAGTGGCAAGGGTGGGGCCCGCAAGAGGCTTTGCCTCGATCAATTGGAAAACAACGAAAACACTGGACACCTGCTTCTGGCTTCTGCATGGACTTTCCCATGTGCCCATACATCCTCGCACTCACACGCGCCAACGAATACACACACGCACACTCTTAAAATTAAAATGTAAACATGCACACTTGTGCATATATCTACATTAATATGTACATGTATAGTTTTGTTTTAATTAAGATTAATTTTATGAGCCAGGCAGTGGTGGCACACGCCTTTAATCCCAGCACTCGGGAGGCAAAGGCAGGTGGATCTCTGTGAGTTCGAGGCCAGCCTGGTTTATAAGAGCTAGTTCCAGGACAAGCTCCAAAGCTGCAGAGAAATCCTGTCTCGAAAAACCAAAAAATAAAAATATTTAATTTTATGTTATATGTGTGGGTGTTTCTCCCACCTGTGTATCTGTGTATCATGTGAGTTCATGGCACCCAGAGACCAGAAAAGGGCTTTGAATCCCTTGAACTGGAGTTACGGACACTGGTTAGCAACCATGTGGGTACTGGGATTCGAACTTCTGTCCTCTGAAAGAGCAGTCTCTCTTAATCACTAAGCCCTTAAAAACGTATTTTGAGATAGAATCTGATATTGTAGTTCAGATTGGCCTTAAAATTGTGACAATCCCCCTTCCTAGACATTCATTTTATTTTTAATAATCCTTCTCAGAATGCATCGTAGCTGTGGTTTTTTTTTCCACTCATCTTTCTTCAGGAACATGACTTGAAGTACATGGGTTTCTTCAGTGGCCCCTCCCATTCCCCCCCTTCCACATCCTTCTTTAATGAAACATCCAATCAGGAGCCACTTGATGATCTTGATGGGGTTTTAAAGTACAAATAAGCCAGGGGTTTAAGTCAAACTCTGAGGGGAGCAGAGGGGACTGGGCAAGGTTGCTCTAGGAGAGGAAGATCAAGAGTTCCGGATAGTGCCTTTGTTTTCCAGGGAGTACACAGGATTCCTGCTCGGAGCACCTTGTATGCATTTATGCTAATGCAAAAGACACACAGTTTCACTGTGGGAAGATAGTTCAGAGGTTAAGAGCACTGGCTGTTCTTCCCTTCCAGAGGACCTGAGTTCAATTCCCAGTAACCACATGGTGGCTTATAACCATCTATAATGAGATACGGTGCCCTATTCTGGTAGAACACTGTATACACAATAATAAATAAATCTTAACAAAAAAGATACTTCAGAGGCAACCGAGCAGGGGGGGGGGGGTCCTGGAGCCTGGTTAATGACACTAAAGGAGACTGCTTCTCCTTTAGAAGCCAGGTCAGAGGGGGAAAAGAGTTCAGAGAGTGGAAATCAAAGGTAGGGGCTGAGGCTAGAGAGGGGAGAACCCACAACCAGGGGGACACGGATGGCTTTCTGAATCACTCCTTATTACTTCCAAGTCGCTGAGTTCTTGACTATGACCCATGCTTCTTACCAGAAACATTAGAAATCTGACCTCACTGGATATTTGCGTTTTTAAATATTGCTTCTCTTGTTTTAACTGTGGTTATATAGGTACACATTTAAGTTTGACGTTGTCTTTAAATTTTATTATCCATCTCTTCAGGTACATATAAATAACCATTTTTCATAATGCTTGGACCATATGTACATCAAGTGTGCACTCTATCCCCAGGCCTCTTTTCCCTGTTTGAGACCTAGTCTTACTAAATTTCATAGGGTATTTTTGAGTTCACTATAACCAGGCAGACACTGCCTCCGAATCCCGAGTAGCCATGATTATAGACCCAGGACACCAGATCTGATTTAGGAAAATTATCTTGACTCTATGTACCTGACCAAATTAAACCATCTCGCTTTTATAAGGCATAAGATTCTTCTCTTCTGTAAGAGCATTAAAATGGAGAAAAAGCAGTTTGGGGATCTAGGCTAGCACTCCCCCACACACCAAGTCTTCCAATATACTACAATTCTAGTGAGTTCATTCAGAGACTCGCTAGCTGCACACCTAGTGTCCTCAGAAATGCCCAATTGGCATTTGTCTGTTCTATCAGCTCTCTTTCTACAATGATCCCGAGAACCTCAGATGCCTTTAAAATGTGTCTCTGGATCATCCAAGTCACGGGTGAATGTAGGGGGCGGGGTTGCAGGTGCCTGCGATTAGGGATGGAGCATTGCATTATGGGTACAGTGGAGCGGAAGTGGTCCAGTCTGTTAAGAAGAATAACAATTGGGGCCTACCGTAAATTAGTGCTTTCAGTACAGATTCGGACAGCCCGAAGGCCATGCTCTTCAAAATAAGAACATTTCTCTGCACGTAAGCCAGAAATCACTTCCGAGTCTCATGGTGTCCTACACTACAAACATCTTAAAATGCTTCTGTGTTTCAGGTGGCTGAACTTGTAACCAGCGAGTTCTTTGAACAAGGAGATCGGGAGAGGTCGGAACTCAAGCTCACTCCCTCGGTAAGCCGTTCCTTTCACCATCAAGGTAGCTCCAAACCACGGCTTGAAATGGGAAAGGCTGAGAAGGGGTTTGGAGAAGTCCCGAAAGCTTAGGACTTTAACTAAACAAGAATGCTAGCCACCGTGATCCCAGGTTTCTGACAGAGACTGCTGAACAAGCATTTCCCGGCACCCACAGCGGGACAAAGAAACAGGTGCAAGGGACATCTCAGAGCCAGCGCGGGCATGTCACTCATGCCCACTTTAGAGCAGAAATAACAGCCTAGCGTTAAAGTCAAGCTGTCCAGCCTCATGGAGCAAGCTAGCTCTTATTTTTCAGTTCCAAGCTTTCAAACTCCCCAAAACAAATCATTTCAAACCGTTTTCTTTTCTTTGTTTTCAAATTAAATAGGACGTTATCAAAGCTTAAAATATGTCTGCGCCAAAGGATGCTATAAGGAAAACAAAGAGACAACCTACAGAATAAGAGGAATTATTTGCAAACTGTGCATCTGACATGGGCCTCATAGTTAGAACATTAGAATAACTCTTATAACAATGAGACAATGCAGCTGAAGATTGGGAAGGGGTATCTACCCAAGCATATCACTTCTGAGCATACCCATGAACAAGCACATAGACAATAAAGAGACAAATGCAGATTGCGGTCACCGTGAGGCGCCACCTCACACACAGGCTACTGTTGCGGGAGGTCCTCCCACTCCTCCAGCCTATAGCTGCTGAGATACCAGCCCATTGGGGCGTGGTCTCTCTCCCTTTAAAAAAGCGGCCACTTCCCTCTCCTCTCTCTCTTCACTTCCTGCTCCGCTGGGCGACTAGACTCCCTTCCTGGTTGCATAGAGGGCTGTTGCCTGGGACAGTGATCTGTAAGATTTTTCCCCTTTAAATAAATACCACCCTATTAATCATAATTCCAAACTGGTGTGGCATTGTTTGTGACTTACGCCTTCATTTTGGCGCCCAACGTGGGGCTCGAACCCACGACCCTGAGATTAAGAGTCTCATGCTCTACCGACTGAGCTAGCCAGGCAGCCGGGGTGCTGGGGACGCAGCCCCGCCGCCGCTCGTATTACTACAGGCTACTACTAAAAAGACAGATGATACCAGCCCTGTAAGTTTCCAGAGAAGCCCAGACAGTGAGATGCAGGAAGGAATGCAAACTAGTGCAGCTACTTTGGATATCAAGTCTGGAATCCTCAAAAAGTTAGACCTAGAGGGCTGGCGAGAAGGTTCAGCAAGCATAGCACTGGCTGTCGAGTGGAATCCCAGATCCCACGGTAAAAGGAGAGAACCTACTCCCGACAGCTGTCCTCTGGCCTCCACCTGCCTGCTATGCCATCGTCATCCTCAATGTGAAAAACAAGGTCGAATATAATAAACTTGGCCTGGAGTTGCCATATAACCCATTCACTTCTAGGTTTATCCCCAAAGGAAATAAAAAGAAACCACACCCATACAAAAACTTGTGCACAGCTGTTCACACCAGCTTTACTCCTAGCACCCAAAAAGTGTGAACAACGCAAATGCCCGTCAACTGATGAATTAATAAACAAAAGGTCATAGGTCTCTGCCTTGACATACAATGCGGCAAAAATGAGTACGTGAAATGCTGGGCACTTGCTGCCTCGATACACCTTGAGTATCACGCTACGTGAAAGAAGCCAGTCCTGAAAGGCCACGGCCGTATGACTCCATTTAAATGAACTAAATAAATAGCTCAAGTAGAAAAAGAACTATAGAGAGAATAGACTGCTGTGGTTGAGGCGTGGTCCCACATCCTGAGGTTTCCTGTGCTGCAGCTCAGTCCCCAGTGTGAGTGTTGAGAGCTTGGAAGCTCTATCCCACTCTGGTGGGGAGAGGCGTGGTCTTTGGAGGTTATAGGGACCAGAGAAGTTCATGAGTCCCCGGGGAGCCCCATGATCAAATTAGAGTAGATTATAGGAAGGGGAGAGGCACCGGAAGACACAAATGTGTGCTCTTTGTCTCGTGCTTTATGGTGTCCTGAGACTCTCAGGTCTTTCAGTAAGAAGGCCGCCAACAGACGCAGGCCCTCCAGCCTCCAGAACTGTGAGCCAAACAAACCTTTTTCTTTGTCAAGTTGCTCCCAGTCTCGGGTGTTTTGTTATAAAGACACAAGACGTATAGACACACAGACATTTTTAAAGGGACATTTCTTAAGCAAGCTTTATGTATTTCAGAAGAACTCTCATTTTCTCCAGTACATTCCCTGAATTCCCGGCATCTCTTGGAAAAGATGAGCAGGGTCTGTGGAATTCAGTGGCTTTCTGCCTATTGTAGGTAGAGATGGTTTCCTCAGATTTGGTACCTAGCGTTGTCTCTACACTCCCTCTGTGGATCATCAGTCTGAAGGATGCAACCTTCCCAACATCTCAGGACTAAGGATGAGGCTTGAACTTGCCCTTATGACTGCCATAGACACCAGAATGATGTGGGTGCCACATTTTACCTCGCCTTTCAATAAGGCAAGACAAATTCTAACGAGGCAGTGCCCTCTTCCTGGTCAGCGGGCAGAAGGTAACGTCATAGGCCCCTTACTTTATAAGAACAAAAGGAAGGACATTCTCCCTGGAGTTGAGTTAACTGTTTATTAAAGGAATTCATTTTAACCCTCTAATTCCTGTTGACCAAAGTCTTCCCGATAGAAATAAATCACTCTAGCTTTTAGAAATACGCAAAAATTATATCAAGCGTAATAATGTCATAAAATTTAAAGGCTGGGCTGAAGAAAGGATGCATGCCTGCCCCCACCATCCGTCCAGAGCAAGTTCTCAGTACTCTGCTAATATAGCAGAACCTTACGAGAAATCACGTGGTTGCCGCACCAGCGCCCAACCTTAAAATCTCATAAAATAATTTATGTTTCATAAGAGGGAAAAAAGAGAAGAAACCCTGCTGCTAAGGCTCTTTTCCAATCTCGGGCATCTTCTCACCGCGGAAGTAAAAACCTGCATTATTTTTGTGGCAAAAAGATGTACCTCCTTCCCCTTGACTTCACCCAGTTCCCAGTGACCTGCTGACTTGATTTAGTAACCATTACCTGTACCTGCAGACAGCTTTTGGCCCCCGAGGAGCTGAACGCCATAAAGTTCAAACAAATTCACTTGCAAATCTCATCTTAGGAGATCTGTGAAAATACTTTATTTCTCATCATAGAGAAAGGGAGAGAGGCTGTGTATAAGACTGGTGATTTGTGGCTGTGTACTCAGCTGGTGACATCTGACGCGCCATTTGACAAAGCGACAGTGGATAAAGGCCAGGCTTCTGCTTTTCTCCTCTAGGCTATTTTTGACCGGAACCGGAAAGACGAACTGCCTCGCTTGCAGCTGGAGTGGATTGACAGCATCTGCATGCCTTTGTATCAGGTACTGCCGGCTTGTGAGTGTCTGTGTGTCCTGCCCGAGGCGACAGAGAACATGGGTAAGGTTCTCAGAAACGTTTGAAGTGGGAGACACTTGCAGGGTACGAACCAAGAGCTGGTGCTTCGAAGATGGGGACCTCAGGTCTCCATCGCTTTCTGAAATGTAATCTCCACGGCCTCACCTTCCTTGTCTGTAAACCAGGGATTATAATATTTCATCTCTGCATTCACCAAATGGTGCTGCCTTGAAACTCAAGGATGCAGCCATAGTCAACACCATCTCTCCAGAACACACAGCTCAGAGGCCTAGTAACTAAGGAAACTCCCATACACACTAAAATATTGAAGGCTTAGAGAAATCTAGTGCGAGAGAAGCATGCTTAGCCTTGATTAACCCTGAATTTCTCAAATATAAATTTATTTTGCTTTTAATTTTTATTAGTAGCATGTGAGACACAGGATCTCATCAAACAGACCTTTCTGCTCTGACCCCAGGGTCTGGACCACTGGGTTTTGTATGGGAAGCATCTTCCATCTTTAAAATCTGCCTTCATCTTTAAGCAAACGTAACCGTGCCAAGCCGTGAATCCTGAGCAGTGCCACTAATGAGCTCTTGCTTCTGCCTGGTGCAGAGCCTGCCTGGGGCAAGGAGACATGTGTCAGCTTCGAAGGGTTCACATTCCGCTTTCGGAGCTCTGCTCAGGGCCCGCATCCATTTGCACTAACAGTTTCATGTACATTGGTTTTTAATTCTATGGCATTTGCTTTCAACTATACACCCCCCGACGAGTTCTTTACCCCCGACCTAGCTCAATCCGTCTGAGCCACGTTCCTAACTTCCAAGTGAGATGCACGCAGGGAAAGCTAAGCCTCTTTAGTGTCTCATTCCCTGCTACTCCATTTAGGACCCAGGATGGCTTTTTAAGGATGTCACAACCATTAAGTCCCAGGCTTACCCACCACTTCGTTGTCAGTACTGTTACGAGCTACAGAGACCTGTCACAGTCCCCTGAAAACAAACAAATTAAAATAGTGTCTTCAGGACCGAAATGTAATTCTAATAACCACAAATGATAAAAGTAAATTCACTTGTTATTTCATATGAACCATTAAATGCCCAACATCATAAAATCAATCAGATACAGTTTTAAGATAATCTAAAATCAATTGTTATGGTTACAAATGACTATAATATTCCCCCATCTAATAATGAAAGATTGGACAAGAAACATTGAGAATGATGTAGTTTATTATAAAGAGGATCCTAACACTCTTTTCTTCCTGTCTGCTCCCCCACCCTTGGCACGGAATATGCAGGCTCCCACATAGAGTCCATGGGTGCTGGTCAGGTACCTTTTGCTTTGCTGAGTTTCCCTTGGTTGCCCACATGGAATTATGGTTTAGTGTTACTCGGTGCCCCATGCACAGGTTTTAATGGGATGGATACTTTACTCTTTTAATTGATAAATTTCTCTTTCTGGAAGGGAGTAAAGCTCAATTAACTTCATGTGCTGCTAAGGGCCTGCACGTGGCTCCCACCCCGAGTCTGTTGTTTCATTTCTGGTCCCCAGCTCTTTGGGCTTATCCTGTATTTGCTCCTAGATATTTTGGAATCTTTGGGATAAGAAGGAAGCTACTTGAAGTTAAACAGAAAAGATAGTGCTAACGATTTAGAGAACAGTATTTCCACCGCGCATCACGCAGTATCCTGATTTTCTTTCCTTACTCATCTCTGAGGTTAGACGCACCTGTTGTTTCAGGAAATGGAACACACAGGCCCAGTGATGCATCTGCACATTTAATTTGAGTCCTTCTCCACCTCGGCCTTTGCTCTTGTGTGGAGGCTTCCCAGCGGCCTGGCTCTCCTTCTGACTTTTCTCTCACTGTGAAAAGCCGCGTCACCCTGAAGGAGCAGGTGGAGAAAGTTGCTCATAAGGCTGATGCTCAGTGTTCACCGCTGTTGTCTCTCATGAGCGGGCAATGAAAAGCTTGCTCTCTCTTGGTTTCTTATCACCGCTATTGCTTTTATTGCGCAATTTCTGCTATGAATTCTTTGTAAGGCTTTTAAACCAACTGAGCCATCAAACCGCAAGTGCAGCCAGCACCGAAAGAGCCCCTCACAGCATCTCTGTCGAGTTCTATCTTACACGTCGTGCAGTGGACAATCTCACACTAACTGATGCTGCCCCCAAAATGAAATGGAATCCGTCACTGGGCAGGAACTGCAGCTATTGGGAAGACAACAGTCTTAAGGAGATAGCCATAAAAGTCACTGAAATGACTCTGGTCCCTTAGGCAAAGTGTTTGGGACGAGTAGGGCTGCTGCAGAAAGGGCACTGGGGTTTTGAACATAGACATGCAAAAATGGGATTCTGAAGGGTAGACAACAAATAAGGTGGTATACAGCTGGCAGAGGTTCCCACGGTGCAAGGGCTAGAGGGACACAGTCTGAAACACAGAATAGAAGAATCCTGCGTAGTCTTGCTGAGATGACTGGGAACATGGCAAAGGGGCAAAGATTAGTAATCACAAGACACAAAATAGACATCCCCTCTAATGACAAAATCACAGGCTCTAAGACAGCAGGCGTGGATGGCAAGAGAGTCGTGTAGAGTCCAAGCAAAGGAATTGTGTTGGGAAGGATGAGAGGGTCCTTTGGGAGGAGCACGGAGTGATGGAGGCTGGAGAGGCTAGAGGCTGCTCTGTATAAGGCTAGGGCGGCAGGGAGTTGGAGGAGGAGGGCGGCCATGCAGCGGGGCAGGAGATGTAAGTACGGTTGAAGAGCTGCTACTTTGCTCCATGGACTTTATTGGGTAATTCGGTTTTACTCTGTGACTTTCAAAGGATTCTTCGTGTTAAACATCCTAGTTGACGGAGCACTTCCTGCTGGTGCCTCTGGTTGTTGACTTTGGATTCCCTCCGAGCAAAGGGGAACAAGTGTCATTGCTCACACAGGTGCCCGAAGAGGCCTCAGTGGGAACCCACACCAGAGCATTCTGATGCCCATTTGTTGAAAAAAAAAATCCAAACTCTTGTCTACCGGACGGTGTTAATCCCCAGGCAACCCGTAACTGTGTGGAAGGAAAACAGGGAGGAGTTCTCACACTAAAATCTATTCGTGAGACAGCTACTCAAGTAATAAATAATAGGAAATAATAGGGCCAAAGCGGCTGACAGAAAATACATGAAAACATATAGTGTTGGGGTGTTGATTAATTACACAACTATTTCTATCTGAAATGAAGAGCAACCCCTTGTGACTGCAGGCCAGGTGGGAGGGCACAGTGGGGACCAACCCCAGATTCCTCACGGTTACATAAGGAGACACAGCATATGTTTATCTTTTAAATCTTAGGGTTCCAAACTTTTGGAAAGAAGACAAAGAGAGGGTGGGGAAGAGAAAGCGGTCCAAACAGGCAGAAGTCATGATTTATCTGTGACAGCATTTTAATCAGGAAGCATACAGGAGGCCCAGAGCAGGCGGGGGAGCATCAAAGCGTGTTCCCCAGGAGAAGTGGAAAGCCCTGGTTAGTTAGCTCTGGCCTAGCAGGATGTCTTGGAGGAATACAGTGACATCTGATTCCAGAGCTTTCTGCTGTCTTTACACCCTGCTGGGGAGCCATTAGCCTGCTGCTCAACATCTTTGGATAAAAAAAAAAAAGTGAGAAAAAAGAAGGGGAAAAAAAGACACTATCAAAGTTTGGAGTCTCTGCTGAGGCAGCCTTAGGGATAAACAGAACCCCCCTGTCTCATTCTGAGCTGCTGTTCACAGGAGCAAACTAAGTTTTTGCCCCTGATTTTTGTTCTCAACTCAAACCTCAGCATACCTAAGAACGGCAATGATGCACAGAGACATGATAAATCTGTTCGTTCAAAATCGACAGTTTTTCAAGGAAATCAGATTTTCATCTCCTCTCCAAACTGGCTTTTGAGTTGGGGGATGGATTCCCTCACTGACACTGCAAAGGGGTTACCCTGGAATTGGATCCCCAGCTCCTTGTAAACCAGCCCTGGCCATGCACAACTAGAATCCTGCAGTCCCGCAGTAGGGAGATGGGGGCGGGAGGACCAGAGTTTAAGGACAGCCTCTGCCTTACAGTGAGTTGAAGGTCAGTGGAGGCTGTATGAGACCTTGTCTCGAAAAACAGTGACAGAGGTTCCACACCAGACAACAGACTTGGAATCTTATTTCATTTATGTATTTATTTTAACTTCGGCTGTAATGATCATCTTGGAACTTACTGTTTTACTAGCACAGCTATTAATGTGCTCTCTAAGGAAAGTGAGAAGGGACTTTCATTTTTCCATTAATGGAAAAATGGGTCAGCAGTTAAGAGCACTGTCTGCTCTCTCAGAAGACCTGGGTTCAATTCCCAGCACCCACGTGGTGGCTCACAACCACCTGTAACTCCAGTTCCAAGGGAGTCAACACCCTCTTCTGACCTTCAAGGGAACCAGGCACTCACAAGGTCACACACACACACACACACACACACATACACACACACACACACACCAGCAACACACCCATTGTACAAATTAGGGACAAAAGCAACTTGGGGAGTTGTATTTCAGTTTATAGTTCCACATTCCCAGACCATCGCTGAGGGAAGTCAGGACAGGAATTCAAGGGGGGCAGGAACCTGGAGGCAGGAATTGATGTGGAGGTCACGGGGGAACGCTGCTTACTGGCTTGGTCCTTGTGCCTTGCTTACCCTGCTTTCTCATAAGATCCAGGACCACCAGCCCAGGGATAGCAACACCCAGAGTAATCTGGACCCTTCCACATCACCATCAACCAGAAAAATGCACCACAGTCTTGCCCAGAGGTGGGGACATATTTTTCAACTGAGTTCCCTCTTCCCAAACGACTCCAGCCTGTATGACGGTGACATAAAGCTAGCCAGCACACCCGTACACATAAAATAATTTTTTTTAAATAATAAAATATACTGTACTATGCTTCAAATTGTGGAGGCTGCAAGTTAGGAACTAATAAACTAG